AGAACACACGAGAGCCGACATAAAGGTTACCTACAACAAGACATTTGGAAGGGTGCCAATGCCAATATCCTCTTTTCAATAATCCAACATTTGACACATGAACTGAAAAAATGGAAAAAGAAAAAACAACCATCATCAGAAATGTTAAAGCTGCAACCCATACATTCATCCATCCATCCATCCATTTTCATCCGCTTATCCGGAGTCGGGTCGCGGGGGCAGTAGCCGAAGGCGAGAGGCCCAGACTTCCCTCTCCCCAGCCACTTGGGCCAGCTCCTCCAGGGGAATCCCAAGGTGTTCCCTGGCCAGGTGAGAGACATAATCCCCTCACCGTGTCCCGGGTCTACCTTTAGGCCTCCTCCCGGTTTGACGTGCCTGGAAAACCTGACCAGGGAGGTGTCCAGGAGGCATCCTGACCAGATGCCCGAGCCACCTCAACTGGCTCCTCTCGATGTGGAGGAGCAGCGGGTCTACTCCGAGCCCCTCCCGAATGACCGAGCTTCTCACCCTATCTCTAAGGGAGAGCACAGCCACTCTTCGGAGAAAACTCATTTCGGCCGCTTGTATCCGTGATCTCGTTCTTTCAGTCACAACTCAAAGCTCGTGACCATAGGTGAGGGTAGGAACGTAGATCAACTGGTAAATCGAGAGCTTCGCCTTCTGACTCAGCTCTCTCTTCACCACGACAGACCGGTACAACACCCGCAACACTGCAGATGCAGCACCAATCCGCCCATCGATCTCACGCTCCAGTTTTCCCTCTCTCGTGAACAAGACCCCGAGATACTTAAACTCCTCCACTTGGGGCAGGACCTCATCCCTGACCCGGAGAAGGCATTCTACCCTTTTCCGAATCAAGACCACGGTCTCAGATTTAGAGGAGCTGATTCTCAACCCAGCTGCTTCACACTCGGCTGCGAACCGCTCCAGCGAAAGCTGCGACCAGTAGCTCATTACAAAGTCACCATGGTAACCACACTTCTGCATCTCTCACATCCTGACAGCAAATACGATGAAAGGCAGAGAGGAAAGAAGACGGGTCAGTTCTTTCACCTGTTGTGACACAGTGCCACGATTCCAAGTCATAGCACACTTTTCCTGATTGAACGGTATTTTCTGATGAGTGACTTGTGTTGGGTGCTTCACTATCTATTCACTGGCACTCCTAATAAGACATTTTCCTCAGAGACATCTGTAGTGTGTCTCCTCAGAAGAACAAGTCTCCTTTCTTATCTCTACCCCTCAAATAAGTCTTTGTCACAAAAGAAATGTTGACGTGTCACAGCCGGAAGCAGATTACAAAGAGAGAAAAGAAAGATATAGAATTCCACTTAGTGACTTCAGGTTGCGGTGTTGCTCATGCTCACTGTGACGTGTCGAAACGCCACAAAGGAAGCTGAAGGGAGGGCCTTTTGTTGACGAGACCTGTCGTCACTTTAAAGGTGACTGACTGAAGTGGCACTGTAACAGGACCTCATTAGTAAATAATATTTCAGGCAGATGCCAAGTTAAAGAGGACAGCTGAAAACGGACAGAATCGAGCCTAAAATGGCAACACTGTTGTGCACACAGACAATTTCATTCAATGGGATTTGTTTTGTTTCCAGTTCACCCTGTACCACCATAACAGCACAGGCTGTGGCTGCTGGGAGCTGAGACACTGCTGCAGAACACTGATTGCTCCCAAGAGTACACCCCCCTACACACACACACACACATGTCGGATCACATGCCGAGTACAGAGCAAAGCCTGCCCGCTTCAGCAACACTTGAACAAAACGGACGCTCTCTGATGTGCAAACTCAAATCCGGGTTTCTTCTTGGAGAGTTATCTCCCAGCCTGTCTCGATGCACCCGCTCCCTCTCTAGCTAAACACCAACTCTTTTTTCTAAGAGGTAGCACAGATTACAAATATAACATACCAAACATTCTTACAAGCACACACAGAGCTCAGATCACTCCCATGAGACAAGTACTTCCCCCAGAACATCCATCAGGTGTTTCCTGTTGATCTCTACCCTCGTGTGATACCATCTCATTCTCTCAAGTCTCGCAAGTTGGCTTGCAGAGGAAGGAAATGACACTCATTTTTTAGGAGCTTTAGTTGTCACAGAACTCATCCAGGCTACAGGTCCAGTGAAAAATCCTAGTTTTGCTCCAATTTGAAATTCAAATGACTGCTGTTGAAATCCATTTCCACAAAAGCACTTTTTCTCTCCCGTGATTCTGTTTATTCCAGTCTTCATAAGTCTCATCTAGTTGCTGCTCTATTTTACTCATTTCACTCCTTTTCAGCACGTTCCCCTGAACACCTCCTCCTCCTCCTGCTGCTCCAGACCCTCTCCCATTCTTTCATATCTGGGTAAGTTCTCGCACGGGACCAGATTTCCCTCTGCAGTGTAGCCAACGAGTCCCCACGGGGAGGATCGGCATTGGCTTTACACGCATATGAAAGTGTGTGTGTGTGTGTGTGTGTGTGTGTGTGTGTGTGTGTGTGTGTGTGTGTGTGTGTGTGTGTGTGTGTGTGTGTGTGTGTGTGTGTGTGTGTGTGTGTGTCTTTGATCTCAGGTAAATAAAAACATGAGAATCCACTGTAATAACAATTTCCATCATGTGTTCTAAATAATTACAGTTTCCTTAAAATTTTTATTTTTAAATAGTTTTAATAAAAATGTGACATTTTTAAGAGTTTGCTTATGAAAACAACTGTTTTTGACACTGAACAATGTATGAATCTAATGTTGTTTGTTTGTCAAAAGCATATTTCAACATCAGAATATCCACTTAAATAGATATTTGCAAAGAGATTCTTCATGAGAATGAATAATATTCAAAATTTAGTTTTCATGACCTAAGACGAACACACAGTCATCAAAAATGTTAAACGAGTTCATTCATGTTTGTTTCATGCCATGGTGGATTCCCCATTAGTTGTTTTGGCTGAAATATGAGGAACTTCCTGCTGTACTTGACTCCCAGATGCACCAGAAGTGCTGCATGCAGCTGCTGTTCACACTTGTAACATCCATGTAAATACCAATGGATGCATGTCAGTGCTTTAATGTTTATAATATAATGTTGCATGAACCCATGTGGAAATACAGAGATGTTTGTTTAAACATTGTATTAATACACTTTTTTGTTCATAAGAACTGCGTGGTGGCGCAGTTGTTAGCATTGTTGCCTCGTAGCAAGAAGGTTGCAGGTTCGAAACTCGGCTGTGGCCTTTCTGCGTGGAGTTGCGTGTTCTCCCCATGCATGCGTGGGTTTCCTCCGGGTACTCCGTTTTCCCCCACGGATCACAACATGCCCTGTAAGTTATAAATTGTGTGTCGCTTTGGATGAAAGCGTCTGCCAAATAAATAAACATAAACCGCCCAGCCAAATAAAAAAGTCACCACCCAAAAAGAAAAATGGCCTGTATTTGATATAGCGCCTTCTAGAGTCCTAGAACCCCCCAAGGCACTTTACAACATAATCAGTCATTCTTTCATTGAATCCCACATTCACACGCTGCTGGGGATGAGCTACAATGTAGCCACAGCTGCCCTGGCGTGCAATGACAGATTACGACACGCATTCGCTGTGGCGCTGTTTCGATAAGCTTCTGCAACATCACCAGTTGTTTTGATCCAGGGTTGAACTAATGTCTCACCAACATCTTGCACTGATGATGGTAGTCTGACTGCTGCACAAAGCCTTCTGCAGCACATCCCAAAAATTCTCAATGGGGTTAAGGTCTGGACTCTGTGGTGGCCGATCCATGTGTGAAAATGACGTCTCATGCTCCCTGAACCGCTCTTGAGCCCGATGAATCCTGGCATTGTCGTCTTGGAATATGCCCGTGCCATCAGGGAAGATGGAATAACCTGGTCATTCCGCATATTCAGGTAGTCAGCTGACTTCGTTCTTGGAGCACATCCTGTTGCGGAGTCTAGACCTGACCACCTGCAGCAAGCCCAGATCATAGCACTGCCCCCGCAGGCTTGTAGAGTAGGCACTAGGCATGATGGGTGCATCACTTCATCTGCCTCTCTTCTTACCCTGATGCACCATCACTCTGGAACAGGGCCCATCTGGACTCATCAGACCAGTTTTTAATAAAGTGTTGGACAGTTCAGATTGAGTTTTTTTTGCATCTCATTAGATGTCATCTCTGCTTGACGCCAACGACCCGACCCTTCCCACACAGACTAACATCTTTTCCACAACCACCAGTTGTGTCTTTCCACTTGTTTGTTTAACGAATGAGAAGTGACTCATTGCACCATTTGAGGTTAAAACACTTTTTGACATGCAGTAATTAATAATAGGAGGACCCTACCTGTTTGCTTAGTTAAATCCAGGTGGTGACTTGTTTTTGGCCCAGGCAGTGTAGTAGCTCATCAGTTATTTCTCCAAACATAGAATGTTCAGGAAGTCACAAGTTATCGAACTCTTTAAGGCAAATGGAAGAACAAGATCCAAGTTGGATCTCAAAAGATTCCTATTATTTATCTAATAAAATCCCACCTGCTATTTTCTGCCAGTAAGTTTTTATCTGCAACAGAAAAAATGTCTGGAACCAAAAGCTGAGCTCTTCTTCAACTTCATTTGAAGAGACAAACGAATTAATCAGCTGCCTTTTATCTACAGGAGAAAACACTGTTCATTTTCAGGCTTTCGATCTTGTCCTGCTGCCTTGTTTTCCTTCATTAAGGTGATTTTTTTTAACCACAGCAATAATCATGAAGGCAAAACAACAAAACCTGGTTTTGCGTCTCCTGAAGTTGCACCAAGCATCCCAACACGCAGAGGCTGAGGTGTCCAGGAGTCCTGCAGCTAATCAGGGACATCTGAATTAAATGATCACAGCAACAATTCTCAGAAATAAATACGCGAAACCCACGCACACCTGTTGGCTTCGGTTTACGAGCGTTTGTATGATATAAAAACAGTTTGGACTTCCGGGGCTCTGGTCACCTTCCCTCTACGTGCATGTGTCCCAACTGCTGCCTACCTTCCAGTGTCACCTCCTTCCCCGCACGTTTCAGCACCTGCACCGCCTCATCGTGCGTGGCGTCCCGCAGGTTCATCCCGTTCACTGACAGGATCGCGTCCCCCACGTACAGAGCCTGGGTCTGGTCCGCTGCGAGCCCCTTGAATATCTTACTGATGAGAATGGGCATCTTGTTCTCCTTCCCTCCTTTAATGCTGATGCCGAGCCCTCCGACTTCCTGCTTGGTCACCTTGACGCAGCGCTTTCTGTTGGCGATCGCCTCGGGCACTCGCTCCGGGAGGTCCGTGAAAGCGGTGCGCACAGCTTGGGGGCCATTGTTGGAGTTGGTGTTGCTGTTATCCAGGTACGATCCGTTGGTGAGCCCGTTTGAGTTGACATTCTCGCCATCCTCGCAGCTCAGCGTCAGCGCCTCCTCGCTCAAGTTTACCAAAACTTTGTGCCAGTGCTCCCGCACCAAAACCTCCACTAATCCACTTCTGTGCGCCCCGGAGCCTCTCGAGACGCCTGCGGCTGCTACCACCGCCATCTTTGGAGCATTTCTGTAAAATCACACGCGTTCTCTCTCACACAAACACACACGCGTTCCGGCTCAAGCTGCATGGACTTTGCTCGTCAGAAGTTTTCTGCGGGACTCGATCAGCCAGCGCAGGCTGGCCCCCGCTCCGCTCCGCCTGCCCGGAGGTCCTACAGCTGCTGGGTGGAGTTTTCCTCTCCACGCTTACAACCGACCAGCCCATGAACCAAAAAGAAAAAAATGGGCATTTGCATCAGACATAACTTTCTGAGCTATGACGCAAGCACGTGCTAAAGTCATAAAAACAAATGCAGCTCTGATAATTTTTCAGAACAGAATGAAACGGTTTCACGCTTTTGTCATTAGCATTAATGTTATTAAATAAAATCAATACACCGTTTCAGTCATGGGGTTCGAGTGTTTTTGTGCGTAATTTGGACAAAATTCAAGGAAATAAAACTGTACCTTCAACATCTTTTGAAAAACTCTTTGAAATCATAACTAGTTGTCCTGTAGGACTGCGCTTACGTCGTGCTTACGCGCACTCAGGAATGCAATTGAGGGGAGAGAACGCGGTTTAATTTTAGGCTTTCATTTAAAAGCCCACCCTCTGCGGAGTTTCTCCGCATCTCTAATGATTATTTTTTTATTTTTCCAGCTGTTCCCAGCGGTTATGTCAGCCCAAGACCCCGAGGGCGCAGTCCGAGTCTTACTGGTTCTGTAGATCAGAGAGAAAATAAGAGAAACAAATAGAAGCAAATGTAGAAACGACAAACAAACAAGGTGGAGGAAGAGGGGAACGGTTCTCCATCATCTCCAAACAGCAGCTGTCAATTAGGCTAATTAAAACATCTGCAAACTTCCACTGGTACTGATCTAAACCGGCGCGACAGCGACACCTACTGGTGATGTTTGTTTTAACAGTCATCTATCTATCTATCATCTATCTATCATCTATCTATCTATCTATCTATCTATCTATCTATCTATCTATCTATCTATCTATCTATCTATCTATCTATCTATCTATCTATCTATCTATCATCAGGTGACGTTGAACAGTAAATCAAAAACATTTGATCTTTAAAATAATCTGCTTTTTATGTCCTTACTGGTTTTTCACAGATTAAATTATTTAAATAATGAATACTGAATAAAGCAGCAGATGCAAACCCAGAGCAGAGACCATGACGACAGACCCCACCCACGCCTTCTCCTTCAGGCAGAGGATTGAGCGGCCTCCAAGACTGTTTTAGGCCCTCAAAGCTGAATGGATAAACTGGCTGTAACGTATAGCTATTTTATTTTTTATCTTTCTTTGAGTGTGTCCTATTCAATAACTTTGAACAACTCCTAATAAAACACAGGAAGTGTTGTTTCACCGTGAGCTACTTACAATTACTGAGTTGTGCAAAAGACATGTTTTGTCTTGATGAGGAGCAGGAGAGTTATTTTTACTTTAATGTGGAAATGAGCTTCATCAGATGAAAGTTTATTCTGTGTTGTGGTAACGACCTTCAAACCAAACCAATTACCGACCTATGAAAGGTGATGTATAATAGAGGTGATTTTAGTCCTCAGTCAGCTCAGTGTGTTGGTCTCATTCTGGTTTCTAATGCTGCACCCGATGGTGAGATTGTTTTTCTGGGAAAGTGGATGCATCTGGAGAGCCTTTAGAGCCTGAATGTGCTGGGGGAGGAGCTTCAGGCTCCGGTTTTTATTTCAGCTTGTTACTTATTGGCTGTTTTGGTTCATCTTCCTTTGTTCTGCCTCGTCTAGTCTTCCTCCGCTTATCTGGGTCCAGGTCGCGGGGCAAACCAGTTTCCTTGTCCGGGGATCAGACCGCCAAGGCTCCCGCCTCGGTTTGCCACCCAATCCACACTGCACCGGACCCTTCATGTTCCTCCTGCGGGTGGTGGGTCCACAATTGGATGAGCCCATGTATCCGGTTCGGGCTGGGCCCGGCCCGGCCCCATGGGCGAAAGCCCGACCACCGGGTGCTCGCTCACGGGCCCCAACCCCAGGCCTGGCTCCAGGGCCGGGTACTCCGACTCTTTGATTGTAAATCCATGAAAGATCCTCTGAACCGTTCTTTGTCTCACCCATCACCTAAGACCCATTTGTCATGGGAGACCCTACCAGGGGCCCAAAGTGCCCCAGACAACATAGCTCCTAGGATCATTAGGGCACTCAAACTCCTCCACCATGATAAGGCGACGGTTCAAGGAGGAGTCTTTGTTCTGCTGTCTCATAAAAATTCCCCCAAACGTTTTTAAAATGTATTATTTTTTTTTGCTTTCTTCCTTTTCCAGTGACTCATCACTCAAATCTCCCTCATCCAGTCTCTGTTTTCTTACCTGTAACTATTTTACCTTCCCTGTCTTGTAACACGCATTACTCTTTTTGTGCTTACGCTTACCTATGATAGGCCCAGAGTAGAGCGTCTGTCATGTTCTGTGTCCCTTTGTTCCCCAGCCCCTCCAGTTCCCACTCCAGGTTCTCCTCTTGTGTCCCAATTATTATCCCCAGCCCTCTGTAGACTTCCCTCAGGTGTCCTTCTAATCATTCCCCATTCCTAGTCAAGCTTATTTTAGTCCTCCTCATCCGTCTAGTTATTAGTTGTTTATTTTTGACCCTCAGTCTTTAGGTTTAGTTTTATCCTTGTGTTATAGGTTAAGGTTTATCTGTCACCCTGCTTGTTTCTTCCCCCTCAGTTAGATTATTGCATGCACCTGCCTTCCCTCCAGATCTCACTGCTCACACCTGTCACCTGTTTCCCTGATTGTTTCCCTCTGTGTATATAACCCTGTCTGTGGCCTAGTCCACAGGTAGCCGTTTTTAAAAAAAAAAAAACGAATATCCGCCCCTCCAAAAACTTCACTGAAAAAAAGAAAATAGTTTAATAAACCTAATTGAATTGCTTCAATTGGTAACAAGCAATTTAATTAAGTTTATCCAACCTAAATTATTAAAATTGTACTAATAATTTAAGTTGGATAAACTTAATTAAATTGCTTGTTACCGATTGAAGCAATTTTCTAAGTTGGACCTACTTTTTCATTTTACAGTGTTGCATCCACACCACCTCGTTTTAAACAAAAACTCTGTCCACATGTACCTGGATAAATACGTTGTTAAGGACATGCCAGACCTGTAGGCGGCAGTACTTCCCCCGTTCTTAACCTCGTCCTTCGTCTGTGGTCTTCCGCAAGGAGCAGTAATTCCACTTGCAAAAACAAACAAGCAAAAAGCGCTTGGACAATTGATAAAGCGAGCGCAGCTCTGAGGGCATCCATGATGTCGGCTAGTGTAAACACAGGTCGCACACGTGATGTCAGCATTTTTTTCTTGCGGAAAGTGACGTTGCAGACCTTAAAACTCCGGTTTTGTCTGTCCACACGCAGACACCCAAAACGGAGAAAACGCAGATCTTCACTTTGGCCGGAGTTTTTAAAAAGATCCGTTTTCGTGTGAAAAAACTCTGTTTTCGTGTGGATGACAGGCCAAGACGTAGAAAAATATCTACGTTTTGGCAGATCCCCGGCTACGTGTGGACAGAGCCTGTGTCTTTCAGTGTCGTTGGATCATTGCATGTGTCAGCGTTGTTCTGTCTCTCTCCAGTTTCTCCTAGTCCGTGCTCATTAGTGAACTTCTGTTTTGTTTTTAAGCGTTCAGTGTGTTTTGGAGATTTAGTCGGATACTTGTGTCTTTTTTTATTTGGCACCTCCTTTAAAATAAGATAATTTTTGCTGAAGACTTCTCCTGCCTTGAGTCGTTCTGGGTTCTGCTATTTGGTTTCCACCCCCTCCATCCTGATCGTGACAGCGTCTAGCTACATGCTGCACCACCACAAATACTTTGTGGTACACAAGCACAATAACCATCCAAGTTGTTGTGAAATGTTGGTGCAGCTTAAATGTGGCGTGAGTTAGAGATTTTGCAACATCTAAGTCATAAAGCTCAGAGGCAAATTGTGGTTTAGTGATTTCAGCAGCAGCCCATGGAGAAGTAAAAAGGTATTTGGTCACCATCTCAGGATGATGGAGGGTTGCCAAACAAATCTAAGATGCTTCATGCTTTCCACTCAGAACTGTTCATCTTCTCTTCTTAATTCAACTTCTTATAAATGCATTGATCTGAAAAAGTATTTGTTCCTTTGTAGATTATTTGTTTTGATGCTTGATGATTCCCCTGGAGGAGCTGGCCCAAGTGGCTGGGGAGAGGGAAGTCTGGGCCTCTCGCCTCAGGCTACTGCCCCGTCACCCAACTCCGGATAAGCGGAGTCAAATTCTGTGTCAAATTAGACTGTTTCAGATTTTAAAAAAAAACTAAAGAAAATGAATCCACATCAAACAAAGATGAGGAATGTTAAAGTTCAGTTTTAAAGAGTTACTTTATCTCGTGTGGGAACCCGTGTTATTACAGCAACGATGTAAAGACAAGCAAAATAAATGAAAGTTTAATTTCAGAAAAAAAGGAAAACTATCCAAACCATTATGTCTATGCCAAGAAATAATTGGTCCTTTATTAAGTCATTAATTATCTGTGATTCATCAAATTCTTCAGATGCAAATGAATAAAAATCAATATTAAAACCAAGCTTGTACAGAAGCTATGGCAACAGTCGCACAGTCTGACAGGTTGTTGCTAAATGTTTTTAATATTAACTATAAAAAACACACGCTGACTTCAATTTGTTTTGTCAAACACAAAAAATGTAAATAAAGTTTAAAACATAATTCTACAAACTAATCTAAACAAAGATTTTATTTCGTGTGAGATAAAACGGATGTAATCCTGTCACACTGAGCCAGGAGGAGGTTAGGACCCAAGATGCAGAAACCCAGAACGACACAAGGCAGGAGCGAAATCAAAGTAAAATCCTTAATTTAGGAAGAGTGTCCAAAATAAAAAAAATCCAAAAAGGGCAGGAAGCCAAGCCTAAAGTCAGTAACCCGACTGACAAAAACAAAAAGCTCTTTGATGAGCAAACCCTAGAGTTTCACAAGGAGGAACAGAACAACACTGACAACGACAATGGACCGACACACACTGAGAGACAGGGTTATGAACACAGGGGCTGGGTGATAGGAGACGAGGAGCAGGTGTGTGGGGAATAGGGCACAGGTGAAACAAATGAACTGAGGGAAGAAGCAGAAATAAGCAGGGGAGAAAACTATATCTTAAACCTGTAAACCAAAGCTACAAAAAAAAAAACCAAACTAAACTCAAACACTGTAGAACAAAGGCACAGGGGAATCTTAAAAATAAGTAAACAAATGATCTAAGTGGGGAGCGAGAACTGAGGAGAGACTAGGAGAACATGAGGGAAACCTGGAGGGAGCTGGGGAGTAAAAGGGCTGGGGACTACAAGGAGCACAGGATCTGAGGAGATACCTGGAGGGAGCCTGGAGGGGGCTGGGGACCACAGGGACACAGAACATGATAAGTCCAGCCAGCTGATAAAGTTGAATTATTGCATAACAGGAATGTGACACGCTGTAGGAGGAGCTTAGTTGTGTCATTTACAGGAAATGAAACTGAACCTTGCAGTCACTTCAAAAACAAACAGTTCCATCAGCAGAACAGAAGGACTTCCACATGCAAACAGGCGAGGTCAGCTTCCTCAGGCTTGTTAGCACAAAGTTTTATCATTCGAATATAATAAACAGAAACTTGTTTATAACTTGTTTATCAAGTGTAACAGCAGTTCTGTAACTTCATCTGCAGCGGAAGCCTTGAGTTTGGGAGGAGGGGAAGGGTACGGTGAGTTTCATCTCCTCAGTAAAGACTAGATGTGAAGCAAGACGGAGTTGTGTTTTGATTCTGCTGTTTGTTTATATTTATTTATATTTAATCAGATGAGTCGATCACTCTCTTTTATAACAATGAGCCAAGAGGCAGCAGCAGCAGACACATAGTTAGCTTTACACCAAAGAAAACAGATAAGACAAAATCAAACAACATAAAAATAAAACAGTTAGACACAAAGATAAAAGACTGTTCTCACATATAATATGTACAAGCAATCTAAACAGACTTAAAACAGTCTTTAGGTGCTCAGAAGCACATTGATCAGAAACTATTAATTGCAATAAATTATTGACGGTAGATAATGGAATGTAAGTAGTGAGCTTCAGTGGTTTTTGCTAGCCTGGCCTGCCAGACTCCTCATCTGTTTAATTCTGCACAGAGAAAGGGTCTGGGAACTCTCCTATTCAAATAACCCCACCCAGTGAGAATTCTAACCGAGCCAATCAGCGCTGAGTAGCGTACGTCACACACCACAACACCGAGTTTGTCACAAACATGGTGACTGAAGTGGAGTTCGCTGCGGCTCTTCCCTCTGTTCTAAATTATTTGAACATGTCTTTAAAACCACAACAAGTAGAAGCACTAAAAGCATTTCTTCTAAAAAAAAAAAAAAATGTTTGCGCCGTTGCCAGACGCTATTTTTTTTACTACAATGAGAAATCTACCGCGTCCCGGTACAGTCGGGATTTCCGTCTTTTTTTTGATTGGTCATTTTTGAGCTGCCTAGTCCCGCCCCTCAAGTGCCTCTCTGCCTGTGAGTTACCAGACTCATTCTCTGTGCAGAATTAAACAGAGGACGAGTTTGGCAGGCCAGGCTAGGTTTTTGCAGCTCATTCCAGTCATTAGAAAGCAAACTGGAATGAGGAGCGGCCAAAGGAGGTGCGAGCTTTGGGAATAACCATAGAGATGAAGTTACTGGAACGTGAATAGCGCTGGTTGTTGGGAGTGATGAGTAATGAGCGAAGACATGACGGGGTTCAACCGATGATTGTTTTGTATGTGAACTGGTACCAATGCACCAACCTGCAGGAATGGACTGATGGCCAGTTAACGAGTGAGTACAGATCACAATGTACCAGTGATGAAATGGATTGCTGAGTTATAAATGACATCATGTTTATGAAGATGTTTTTCAGAAGCAGTCCTATAAATGATGTCACTGTAATCTAAGATGGGAAATATTGTCATGTTGACCAAGGCTTGCTTTGCAGAATGAGTAAAGGATCCTGTTGCAGTAATAGAAAGTAATGAATTAGTGAATGTCAAATGAAAGTGTGCTGTCAAGCCAGATACCCAGATACTTACAGGAACTGACAAGCTGTAGTTCTGTACCATCTAGGGAAACAATACTAGGCTGCTGTTGCCCATCAGCGTATCGATCATCAACATATAAAAAGGACGGACATAGCCTGTCTATTGCTTTGCGGGGGGAAGGGTGGAAGCCAAATGGGAAGTTCCCACCACTCACATTTTGGTTGTGTCACATGTCTCGCCACACAAGACAATCCAAAAATGGGAAAAGAGGTGGAGCTGAGGGTGGAGCTCTTAGGGTTAGAACAATTGAACTAATGTAGCTACTAGCTAACTTAGCTAACCCAAGAAGCTGAAAAAGGCTCCGGGGACTGGGGTAGCCGACCCGCAAGTGCCGAATGGCTTCCTTGTGAGGCTGTAGTCATGCTGGTCGCCTGTGGAGATCTAATATGGACTGGGACTGCTATAATACAAGCAGAGCCTCAGACCGCTGCGATCATAACCGGGTGCCCTCGCCTTTTACATCAGCTCATGCTCCACAGTCGAAGATCAGCGGGACATTAGATACATGCTAACCAGAGTTTCGACACGGGATAATCCACGTCGATACTCCCAGAGCTGGGAGCGGACTCGTGGATCTTTCACCGCGGTGGAACAGCGAAGCCCGATGGCCCCCGCTGTACTCGCTCAGATATGTAGCTCTAGTTTTGTTACTCAGCAGCCACACCAACACGTTATATTTCAACTAAGCCTCCATAACTCTGCAATTAAATTGAAACCATCAAGGAAGTGGCAAAAGTTGCAGTTGAACCCTCATCTGCTAGGGGCTGGCACCAGAAGTGAGCAAATCCTTCTTGAGTCCCATGTAGAAAACGCCAATGCCAAAAAGTCTGCAGCTATTCAACATTAGCAGACAGAAAACATGGCTCTTACTTAGTAGCTTTCAGGATTTAATCCAAACTGCTAGAAAGTTTTTCTTCTAGCTTGCCGTCTTTCACCTCCTCCTCCGTGTCGCTGGACGCGGTAGAACCACAGTCTGAAGGTCAATGAAAAATGATTTTACTGTAAATAAGACATATTCATTATTCTCTAAATTATGGTCTGAAATATATGAACCTTTTCTTTCAGATATGGCCACAGCCATGCCTGAAGATCATCTGACATGCTCCATCTGTCTGGAGGTGTACAACGACCCTGTCTCCATTCCCTGTGGACACAACTTCTGTAAGTCCTGCCTCAGCAGGCACTGGGCAGATAAAGAGCAGCGTCTTTGTCCATTGTGCAAGGACACAAGTGACAAGGAGCTCAAACTCAGAGTCAACACAGAGTTAAGGGAGATTGTGGAGAAGTTTAAGAAACAAAATGAGAAAGCTGATGGCACATCTCCAATTAAACCTGGTCAGGTGCCATGTGACTGTTGCCCTGGGAAAAAAACCAGAGCCTCAAAAACCTGTTTGGTGTGCCTGGTGTCATATTGTGACAAACACCTAGAAAACCACCTGAAAATCGATGCCTTCAAGGGACACAAATTGACAAAACCTGTGCACAAACTGGAGGACAAAATATGTAAGAAACACAACCATATTCAGGAGTTCTTCTGCAGGGATGATCAAATCCGTGTTTGTGCCCTTTGCACAGAACACAGCGATCATGACACGGTTCATTTGGACGAAAAGTATGTGGATAAAAGCTACCACATGGGGAAGAAACGAGAGGTCGTGCAGGAAACTAAACCCAAAAAAGCAGTGGAGATTAAAGATGCAGCACAGAAAAAACAGAAAGGGGGAAGAAAACCAAACAGAGCTAAGTCAAACCAAACAACTCCTCCAGGTCACAAAGAGGCATCACAACATCGGAATGGAAGAACCTGCTTCCCTCAAGTTGCAGGATTCTCTGAAGATATATTTTTGTTTGAGTTTAATGTTGAAGACAGAGCTGTCTGCCATCTAGGAGTAGTGAGAATATCAACGTTCAGGAGGCAAAACCTTTTATCAAACCACAGCGACGGAAACTGGGTTATAACGTTGCTGAATGATGGAAGAATCAAGAGAGTTTGTATGTGTTTAGATCAGAAGAATAGAGTCCTGTTGTTCTCTAACGCTGACTGTGGAGACATCATTTGCAGTTTCTTTGACTGTGAGTTCAGAAAGCGAGAGGAACTCTTTATATTCTACGACCCTGGTCAGCCACTCAGCTGGCAGCAGAGGATACAAAGATACGTTCAGAAGAAAGTAGAGGAAAGAGATGTTTCTTTCTTTGTCTCGATCACACTGATAACACTTCTTTGGTATGTTCTAGCTGTGTTTAGTTTCTAACTGCATTTTTGGTTCTTTTTTAAAACACAGAAAAGGTTTCTTTTATACCTTGCTGACCGTTTCGTTTACCGGCTGTAAACTTCCTCAGAGCTGACGCTGGTGGTGGTGTGAACGGAGAAGGAAGAGATGCCACCATCAGCGTCAGCTCTGAGGAAGTTTACAGCAGTAAATGAAACTGTCAGCCAGGGGCGTGTCCAGGGAGTGGCCTGGGGTAGCACATGCCACCCTTGGAATCTGATTGGCCACCCCAGGTGCTAACACACTAATTTACCTTTAAATAGTCTTTTCATTGTCCACAAAAGGCTTGGGGGTAAAACAAAAAAGGCATAACCATTGGTGCCACCCATGCACAAAGCTGTGCCTTATCTGGGCCACCCCATTTTAAAAGATCTGGACACGCCACTGCTGTCAGCAAGGTAAAAAAGAAACCTTTCCTGTGTTTTAAAAAAGAACCAAAAATGCACTGATAAGACATTTTTTTACTTTAATATCCACGATATGTTTGCCAAGGTAACAGATCTGTCTACACTTCTGGACATATTAGCAGACAGATTCTGGTGGGGGTTGGTAACAAGTGTGATTGTGAAGATTTTGCATTGTGCAAAAACATGAGTGAACAATAAATGATATAATGTTATCTTCTATCTGGACTCTGTTCATGCTTCATGAATTCATGACTGTATTTACACAACTGGACTGTTTTTGAGCTCACACAAAGAACTCTTCCATCTCAGCTCTTAACTAATCTTTCATTATTGAAGCTGGTGGAGTACACAGTTATCAAAAAGTTAAAAACTCTTTTCTTCGTCCATTATTCCATAGTGCATGTTGGCAATGTCACCACTAGAGGGAGCTGTGTCTTCATCCTGCAAACATCAGCACATCAGCATCATCACTATAAAGCAGGTGCTGTAAGGATTCTGCCATTAATGAACATTTTCACAATTTGATTCATTTGACATTTAATGTCCTCAGTTAATAAATAATAAACCAAAGGAGATAAAATTATTAAAAACAAATAAAAAAACAGTATTGTAGGATTGTGGCAGAAAGATGTCAGACATCTAAATCTAGACTAAAAAAATAAACACTATCCCACAGTTTTTTATGGTATGGCCGGTATTTATATAGTGCCATCTAGGATTCTACAACCTCCCAAGGCACCTTACAACACAACCAGCCATTCACCCACACATGCTGGTGGTGATGAGCTGCATTATAGCCACAGCGGCCCTAGCCAAAACTGACAGAGGCACGGCTGCCAAGTACAGGAGCCACTGGTCCCTCCAACCACCACCAGCAGGCAAGGAGGGGGAAGCATCTTGCCCAAGGACACAATGACTGCGACAGACTGAGCGAGGCTCGAACTTGCAACCATAACATTTTGAGGCGGGCACTGAACTCCTCTGCCAGTTGTGACCAGCCAGTTTGGTCTACAAAAACACCTTATAAAGGCATACTATGCAATTTTTCATCTTTTTGTTTTTTCTGAGAATATGTGCTAAAACAGCCTTTTACAGGGTTAATGAAACATCAATGAGACCCCACCGCCCCCTGTGACCAGAATATTGCACTTGCAACTTCAAAAGTATACGGGCTGTCACCCAGTGGCGGCTGGCCAGTAGAGGGCGATAGGGCGCCGCCCTCCCAGTTTTTCCGTGTTTTTAATTTTTATAAAAAAAAAAAAATAAAATTAACAATAATCACATATTCTAAGTTAATTGTGTGTTTTGTAACAAAAAGAAATCATATTGGTCTCTGCCGATCTCTGCCGGTCTCTGCCGAGCGGTGGAGGCTGTGTGCTGTATTTCAATCGCCCAAACAGGACGAGACCAGCTGTCCAATTGCTGACAAGAATATCAAAGGGTAGGAATGGGAATGTATCCAATCAGCGTCGACGTTGTTTCAGAACGTTTCAGAAGCAGGATGGGCGATGGAGCTACCGCCAAAGGTTTCGTTGGTGTTCGGTAGAACTCGGCAGAGTCGTTTTTGGTCATGACGCAGATGTAACATGGACGCCGCCGGTGACTACAACCAGCATGGATACCGGATCTCAGCAGCCACTGAATTCAGTTCGGTCTCTTCTCCAGTATACGTTCGAGAGGAGAACTATGGTGGAAAAACTTAATGTCAAAGAGCTTGGACCAGATCAGCCCGACGTAAAGATAAGCCAGCAGATAAGCCAGAGAAGGAGAGATGTAAACTGTACACACGACGCTTCTCCCAAAATTGGTACACCAGGAAGGCTTGGCTAGCTGGATGCAATCACGCTAATGCGTTATTTTGCTTTCCGTGTTTGTTATTCAAAACGGCTGGGACAGATAAGGCATGGATGAGTCAGGAGTTACAGACATGAAACATTTTTCTGAGAAGGTGAAGAAACATGAGTCATCCCGGGCACACATGGACAACAACACGGTGAAGCTAGCCATGCTAGGCAGCAGAGCTAACGTTGCCATGCAGGGAACAACAGCAGCTGGGTGCAGAGGTAAGCTGTACATTACATTTCTGTGAACAAGACAATCAGAATCAGAAATCCTTGGTTGTCCCACAAACCGGGACATTTGTTTAATAACATGTTTAATGTGCAATAACTGTAAAAACTAATTTCAACACACATACTTATTATACATATTTAATCACGTAAATGTGTATTTCATGTAAATTTGTACATACATCAATCTGATTCCATTTTACTTGTTACACTTCTGCTGCAGCAAACACATTTCCCAGCTTTTGGGACAATTAAACATTTCTGATTCTCAATTAGATGTTTTTACCTCAAATGTAAAAACATCTGATTGAGAATCAGAAATGTTTTATTGTCCCAAAAACTGGGAAATATGACATTTGTAAGAGGATACTGATGACATTATTTCCTATGAAAGTGTTTCCTATGTACTTATCTGTTTTTTTTTTTTGTTTATCTACTTTAAAGAGGATTAAGACTTTCCTTGAGGAACACCATGACACAGGATGGGCTGAATGCTCTTGCCATGCTCTCCATGGAAAAAAAAGCTTGTCACAAACATTCCTGACTTCAATAAAAAGCTCATCGAGAGCTTTGCCACTCAGAAGGACAGAAGGGCAAAATTTCTGTACAAATGAGGTATCACACACACACACACACACACACACAGACACACACACACACACACACACACACACACACACACACACACACACACACACACACACACACACACACACACACACACACACACACACACACACACACACAAATGCATCCTCTTGATCTTTGTATAAAGTTGACCTTGGCACAACACTCCAGAAATATTTAACAGTGTAAATTTCTGGCATTTTGTCTAAGTAGTGTTTACTACCATTACTGTAACAGTGACCTGCTCATAATTTTTCGTGTTCACTCAAATGTTGAAATTAAACAAAATGTTTTTGTTACTTGCCTCTTGCATTGCCTATTTACCATTTATGGTCATGTTATTTTATGTGCAATTTAATGCAGTATTTTTCAACCTTGGTCTGCAAGGCAGCGTGCCAATAGTCAGACACACCTGGATTAATCAGTTTGTCCAATGATGTAAGACAGGAAATAAAAGAGCTGTGCTTAATTCAGGAAATAGTGAAGTTGTGCACAAAGCTCAGAAAGCACAAGTTTGTTTAAAAATAAAAAATAGCACAACCCCACCAAAAATATTTTTCACCAGCCGCCACTGCTGTCACCTGTTATTGAGCAATTCCCGCATGTTTTAGATCATGAACACAGCTGATTTATTTCATTTAGGGATGAACTGCTCCTGAAGACACTAATGAAGGTTGAGGACACGTTTCAGAAACTAGATTAAGGTGTTAAAAAACAAACGCACAGGAGGGTACACGTTTCAGTTGCCTGGCCTGCCAGACTCTTGCTCTGTTTAATTCTGCACAAAGAAAAAGTCTGGTGACTGAATCCTTAAAAGAAGCTAGAGCAACTGCCAAATCCTCAGTGCTTATCCTGCTCGACTTATCGGCTGCATTTGACACTGTCAACCATGGCTTCCTTGTGTCCACACTCTCTAGCACGGGCATCACAGAGAAAGCACACGCCTGGTTTGAATCGTACCTCACAGGATGATCATTCAGTGTATCTTGGCTTGGACAATCCTCTACCGTGCACCATCTTGCCACAGGAGTCCCCCAGGGCTCTGTACTAGGACCTCTTCTCTTTGCCATATATACCACCTCACTGGGTGAGATCCTTCGATCACATGGCTTCTCCTACCACTGCTATGCAGACGACACCCAGTTCTATCTGTCATTTCGACCAGATGACCACACTGTCTCTGCACGAATATCAAACTGTCTCTCTGACATATCAAAATGGATGAAATCCCACCATCTCCAACTCAACCTCTCTAAAACTGAACTACTTGTCATCCCAGCAAAACTATCCATGCATCACAATATCTCAATCCAAAATGACTTCCTATCTCTGGCTCCTTCAAAGGCAGTTCGAAATCTGGGCGTTGTGATTGATGAACATGTCCCCCCCACTTTTTCCAAAGTCAAGTTTTGACCCCTGCACTTTTTACCATACAAAAACAATATCTTAAATTGACACTGGTTGAGCTCTAGGACCAAGCAGAAAACAACCATTTGTGTTGAAGCCTGTTTCCCATTAGAACACACTGTAAAGACCCCCCCCCCCCCCCCCCCCCCCCCCCACACACACACCCCGTGTCCCCCCCCCACTTCTAAAGTGAAAATTACATCCATGGCTGTATAACATACGAAAGATCAGACCATACCTAACACAACATGCCACCCAGCTCCTGGTGCTATCTACTGTCATCTCCCGCCTTGATCACTGCAATGCCCTTCTAACTGGTCTTCCAGGCTGTACTGTGAGACCTCTTCAAATGGTCCAGAACGCAGCGGCGCGTCTGGTCTTCAATCAGCCAAAAAGAGCACGCGTCACCCCTCTGTTCATTGAGCTCCACTGGCTACCGCTAGCAGCACACATCAAATTCAAATTGCTAACACTAGCATACAAAGTCCGAGATGGTACGGCTCCCATCTACCTGAATCCTCTTGCAAAGGCTTACGTCTCGGCCCAGCCGCTCCCGTCATCACAGGATCGTCGGCTAGCAGTGCCTACACCACGCTCAGGACAATCCAGACTCTTCTCATGCATCGTTCCACAAATGTGGAATGACCTTCCAAGCACTACCAGAACTGCGACTTCCTTTTCAATTTTCGAGTAACTCCTGAAGACCCTGCTCTTCAGAGAGCATCTTCTAAACTAGCACCCTCCCTGCACCCGTCCCCCCCCTCTACTGTTCACTCCTTGTTCCCTCCTCTCCATGATTGATGTCAAGTTGTTGTTGTTATTGTTGTTGTTGTTAGCCTCAAGGGCAACATGCCGATTATCACTTGTAACTCGCTTTGGACAAAAGTGTCTGCTAAATACATAAACGTAAACAAACATAAAATTTGCATGGGAGACTTACCAGACTCACTCTGTGCAGAATTAAACAGAGGATGAGTCTGACAGGCCAGGCTAACGTTTCAGTATTAGACACAGCTGTTGAGGAGGAAAAGTAGTTTCCCCATTACAAACATCACCAAAGAATCTCTTGATGAAACAGATTATCCATTATTTTGGGATGCTAAATTATATCCCATATTGATGGATGATCTGTTTATCCATTATTAAAAAAATGGTTTGAAAAGATTTATTACAAATAGAGGAGCTTGAGGATCTTGAATCCCCTCATGAGGACATTGATTTCTTTCGCTATCAATTTTATTTTGTTGTGACCCGATTGATCATATTGATCATGCACCCTGGCTACCTAACGGCGAGCGGTGGGAGATCAGAGGTGCCAGGGCCTCTGTCAGTAGCAGACACACTCTGGCGGTGGAAAAACAGCTTGTTTTTTAGCCCCCACCTTCAGATTGGACCATTTTTTTTATATCTGCCACAGATCTCTCTAAAGAACTCACAGCATTGACGGCTTGAGCAACGCTGTGCCACTCAATAGATTTTCACTTATTTGTTTTGCAAAAGCACTTCTTTTCATTTTTCCACCTCACCCACAAGTACCTCAACTTCTGCTTCGGTGAAATTGTGCTTCCTTGATCTGCAGTCGCCGTTGTTAATGGTGAAACGCTGCAACAAGCCGGCTTATCTATATGCATGAGATCCACAAGGCACTTTGCACTGACCATTTATGGCAGAAAGTGGGCGTGTTGTGGGCGGGATGTGTCTCAAAAACACCTGAGAATATTTCTAGTTAGTCTCTGATTTATAAAGCAGAGATTACTTGCAGCTGTGCGTACTCCATGTTTTATTGGTCACAAACCCACTAGGCATAAGTACATATTTTTTGCTGAGCTTAAGTACGATTTGAGTGAGGATTCTACACAATGTTTTATAAATGAGACCCCAGACCTGTATTGGAATGTTTTATTATGTGAAGTGCCTTGAGATGACTCTTGTCGTGATTTGGCGCTATAGAGCTCCGGGAGTTGACGTCACTTCTCCCGGCATGCAACAGCTCAAATCGAAATGGCGCCATCTTGGCAGCCAGTAGTACGGAACTAGGCTATTTGTTATTGTCAGAAAACTCAATCAAAAGTGAAATATGGTAGATTCCTGTTGTGCCCCAGGATGCCAGAACAGACGCGGACGAGATAAGGGAAGAGCCTTCTCCAGGATTCCCCAAGATCTGGAACGCCACAAATGTTCGCTCATCGCAATGAAACGCGCTAGCCTCCAGGCCAAAATGAAACTGTGGGATCCCGAGAGTAAAAGTTTTTGCTTATGCAGCGACCACTTCATATCAGGTACTTAAACCAACGTTTCCTCAACTGTGTATGGTATTTATTTTAAATGCTTTTATTACGATTCTTAGTGGGCTTCCTAAACTTATTTTGGCGTGGCTTTTTCTGTCTTATTACTCATAGCAACAAGTAAACGTCACGTAAAACGTTGCCTCGTGATTTCTGCGTGCTGCCGTTTACGTGTTTTATGATCACAGCAATTAACCGGCTAAGCTGTATTTAATTTTTAAGCAATGGTTGATCAATTGTCAGATCACACATAAAAAGCACTTTGGATTGCTATTATCTGTCTCACCGAGACAGATCTCAGATCTCCCTGAGACCTTCTTGCCTGACATATTTATTTTATTCACGGGAAAAAAAACATTCTCTTGGTGTTCAGTTTATACATTCAAACAGCACAGCACTCTATTTAAACTTCTTACATGTAAATCTATGTTATTTGTGTTTTTGTTTAGTTAGTTTTATAAATTATAAATGTCTGGGCATCTCAAATCCGGTAAGAGGTCCGCTCCGACAGCTTCTGGCGTTTTTAAAAAGAATCCCAGGGGCATGGTAAGGATCGGAGGTGTTAGTCTAATTTCTGACTATATAAAACGATTTCTTTGGTTTTAAAGTGTGAAGTAAACTCCAATGGAGTACAATCCAAGCCGATCCCGTTCATTTTGTTTACCTTTGTTGCCGGTCAACATGGCGTCTACTTTCTGAGAGTCACGTGACGTCCGGAGCGCTACATAAATTAACTTGAATTGAATTGAATTGAACTGAATTGAATCAGGTGGGATGGCCTGCTGGCTACGCTTCCAGGTGAGTGACGTTCAAGCGACATGTTGGAGAGCCAAGTTTTAGACAATTTAGTCAATTTTTGAGTGCCCACAAGGGGTACCACGAGGTTCCGTTTTGGGACCCTTCTTGTTCATTATATACATTAATGAAATTGGACAAAAAAATGTTGGATGCTAATATACATTTTTACACTGATGATACAATCATTTACTCTTCTGTAACATCCCCTACTTGCAGCCCCAAAGCGCTTTTAAACCCATTTACATAATCTGGGTCTCAAAAGGATGTAACACACTTCATCTCTGACAAACCCAACAGTAACCAGATGTGTATCAGCCAAAGGGACAGCACACATAGACTCAAACGCTTTCAAGAAAAACCAGCAGTCCTACAGGGAACATCAATGTTTTCCTTTCTGAGTTTACAGGTGCGGGTCAGGGAAAAGTGTCAGGATGTTAAAACCTTCTGTCAGCAAGGTTTTCTAACTCCAGGGTCCAAAATCATGGAAAAAATGTTGGAAATCCTATTAAATGCTCTTCAAAGGGAATCCCTGGGAATACGTGTATTCCCTCAACAGATGCGTGAGAAAGAGTATGTGCTTTTGTTTCTGAGGGAAAAGATTTTAGTGTTTCAAATGAAAAGAGATGGTTTTGATTTCTATGTCTGGATGTTATTTATTGTTGATGATGTATGAAACATGTATAACTCAGAAATAGTTTATCTCATTTGTAGTTATTTAATTATTGTAATATTGCTGATTGACCATCAAAACATCAGCAAAGATTACATGATGCTAATGAAATGTCAAAGTTGTATAGGTTTATACCTAAATTTATATTTTGGCATCAAGTGTGGGCAATAAAGTAAGAATTTAAAGGCAGAAAACATATTTACTTACTGTAGGTCATCTTTAATCATGAAATATGCTTCTACTTTTTTCATCTTGTCTTCTTGTGTTTCACTCACAAAACATTAAAATCCTGTAGGCCACCTCACAAAAATCACGTTTTGTCTTCAAGCTTCGAAAAGCAAAGTGAAGCGTAATAAAAGCAGAAAAAACACCAGACATCTTTATACATTATTAACATTGTGTATTTGATACACACGCACTGTAACAAACTAACAATTATAATGACAACACTTATGTACAAAAAATTCTGCAAAAACATACACAAACGGATGTCATTCTCAACTTTCCAAGGATTATGCACGTATAAAGAAGTGTAATAATTTAGACCAATGATTGTCAGTTAGACTCTTCTCTTTGAAAGGATGGACGTACACATGTATACGCTTCAGTTATATCAGAAAACGTGTCATCTGATATTAGAGGGTTTGGGGCAAAAATATAACTCCTGAGTCATAAAACACCATAAAATAAAATGTTCTCTATGTAATAAACAGCATGGAGGAAGGGCCAAGTTGATCAAAATGACTTTAGTGAATTTAGTATTTACCAGTTAAACTGCAGAAACTCACATTCTCACAACTCAAGCTCTGCTTTTAGGCTCTCTGTCTTTATACGTTGTCTCTCAAGAGACATTATGGCCACTTTGAAGAGTGTTTTTGAGTGAAAGTTATAATTAATTCCTCTCTAATCAATTTCAGACTGCTTCCTGAGCTGATGTTGTTTAACGAAATGGAAGGTCACAAGGTTTAAGTACTTCTCTGGCTCTCAGTAAAATCTTAAAAACCTAACTTGTCCACAGGATTTGACACAGTTGAATCCCTCTCCAGGAGAGACAAACAATATGAAAACCTTCAGAAATTTTAAGTTATTGTCTAAAATAAAAATTACAGGCCTCTTGTACATTAAAGTGTCAATGTGTACATTTTACCTTTAATCTCTGGAAAAATTGACCAAAATGTTGTTGAAAATGAATAAAATGATGTCCATGCCTTGAAAAAGTTTGGCGGCTTTGTAATATATAACCATAAAAAAGTACATAGGGTCTAGTGTCTTTGTGGGATGCAATATTAGACGCCACGTTTCCTTCTGGCCGGTTCGGGATCCTGTGCCTCTTTATGACGTCACACTGTGTGATTGGCCGGGTGCACGACTTTATGACGTTACCACGTTCAGAAACATTTGGGTAGTAAGAAACATAAAATTAACAACAAGACTGCTAAACTCTTTCCAAAACGGATGTGCAAGAACAAGATTGAAAACGAGATGCAATATATTTAGGCCGATGACGTCATCGGCAGGCTCAGGACCCCGAGCAGATCTAGAAACCGCAACGCCAGAAAAATACAATCGGCATTGCATTCTCTCGATGGGATTAAAGGAAAGTCCATCAAAGTCTGAGGAGTCACGCCGAGGTCACATGCTTTCTGCTCCTCAGGCAACAACACTTTCCATGATGTTTTTTTTAAACTAGCGACAGTCACGTTGAGACGGTGTAAAACTACCCTGAAATGTATGTACTTCCCCCTAGCACCAGGAAAATACACACCACCACTTTAATGACTATTTTGTATAATGTGGACTGTTTTGTTGTTTTCTTAGCCAGCTTATAGCCGTTTACACCCGACTCACAACCTCCTATATTCTCATGCCACTATATGTGAGCTCCGATGGCTCCCACACGCCGTCGTCTCGGGGGCAGTGGCTGTGGCAGGCACAGGTCAAAATGGCCATGACAGGCCTCCGGGTGCTTTTACCGTTGGGGCACAGGAACTCCACCAGGCTGGTTTTGGTTCTGTGGGGGGTGCAGCAGCGGCCGTCTGTGCAGGAGCCACAGTAGCGAGGCTTGTATGCCTGAACGCTGGTGCAATTCTTGTAGGAAAAGTGAACTGCGTTGTTGCTTCTTTCCACCTTCTGGCACCTACTGCCTCTCAGCTAGGACAGCAGAGACATTTATTGCAATTAAAACATGAGAAAAGTTTTTCTTGATATTAAAAGCTTATATTTTCTTAATTTCCGTGCAGTTTAAATCCTAAAATCCCAAAATGAACGTACCCTTGGTGCAAGCTGTGTGAGCTGGTCCTGCTGCTCATCACAGGGCCTTATAACACAAAGACGACTCTGCTTCACCATCTCACACCGATCGTTCTTGTTTGTGACCCTGGTGGACACCCCCATGCCGCAGGTTTGAGAGCATGCCCCCCACTCTGTGGTCTGCTCGATGCAGTTCAGGCTGGGGTCCCACCCGTTAAAGCTGACGGTTTCTTCCTGACGAAAGGCTGAAAACACAGAAGCATAAAAGGTTTGAAGGGGTCTTTTCCTCAACGTACTTCTGACCAAGCTCTGACAGAAAAATTCATCACGTTGATGCTACATTCCAAACATGTACCTAACCTTTTAGAGTCTTGGCTCACAGGAAGTTTTGGGTGTTCTGATCACTCACCTGCCAATGCAAATCCCCCCAGGGCACTGGACTCCGTCTGGGGCTCACACACCCACTTCTCACAGCACTCTCCAGGCACCTGGATCTTACGCGGCACTGGACAGTCGGGACCCGGCAGCATGACATCCAAGTTGCAGCGAGGCACACAGCCGATCTGACCATCTCTGCAGATGCACTGGTACTTACAGCTGGGGAAGAAGATCTGCCCATTCTGATACACAGATCCATCCAAAACACACACATTTCCTGCGCCGACTGGAACAAGGACACCAAACAGCGAACAAAGACGTTTACTTATTTCATTTTGCTCTTGAGGTAGTTTATTCCAGGATCTGTGAGTGTAAATGCAGCCCACTCACCGACACAGACACCAGTCCTCCTGTGGATGTTGACAGAGTAATTACACAGCAGCCCTTTACGGGTGTCACATGGGTTCAGCTCAGAGCAGACTTGACCTTTTTGACCTGCACACAACAGGCAGCAGGCGCAGTCGTCCAGGACCAGGGGCACCCCGGGAAGGCAAGCGGGGATCTCTGTAGGACACTGACATCTCCGAGGGCACACCTGGGATCGGGCTAGAGTCAAAACCTGTGAGGGAAACAAAGTTCTGTTTCATATAGCTGGCATCTAGTGGATGAGGGGCAGTTGGACTAAAAATTAGGAAAAACTTTTAAATAAACATTCTGAAACAGGTAAACATTAAGGAATTCTGATGATGTTAGCTGTTTAACCAACACAAAATGACAAATTTGTGTTATTTTGACTCTTTGTGGATATCAAACATGTCTAAAAAGCAATGCCATTATTTAAAAGAAAAGTCATTTGCTAGAATAATAAACTGTCTATATAATGATTAATATATGTAACAGCAGTATTTCTTACCTGTGTTGCAACAAGTAAAGCTAAAAGATTTGTCATCTTGTTGCGTTACACGCTAACAGCTTTGTTGAGTCTTGAGATTGGGGGTCTGATCTACCCTCCTGGCTGTGCTGTAGCAGGTCGGACTCTCTCTGCTGTTGTGTCTCAGGACTCTGGAGAGGAGGGCCTTTTATATGACAGAGCTGACTGGCTGCTACCATGACGACAAAGAAAAAGGAATTCCTGGAGATACTTGAGACAGTTGGATCAATAGCCAAGTCACATTTCGTTGTGAGATCCTGTCAAATAGTTTGAAGTTCACTTATTTGTTTATTTTACTTGTAGTTGACTTTTTCTCAAGGAATCCCTCACTTCAACTCAATCTGTTACAATTATTACCTACTTCCTGCTGGTTTCCTTATTCCAGAGCCTTTGACATTTGACCTGATCCCTAACTGGGAGGTCACGTTGGAATACCATGCAATTCCCAAAGGAATTGTTTCTGTTTCCTTAAATAGCAGCACAGTGGAAACTTTAGACAGGGATGAAGGAGAGAATAACACCACTGTCAACCCATCTGGTGACATCTGGTCCCAAAGAGTTTTATGATATTTTCATAAACAAAAAAAATATCCTTATTGACGAGGGAGTTTAAAAGGCCCGATCAAGGCTAAAAATGTAATCCGTGAGTTTGATTTGAGTTTAAATGAGATTAACTTTGGATTTCAATTTGCAGATTGTTTTCCCTGTTTGTTTATACTATGGAATAACATTTTACTGGTGAAAATGTTTAAATGTCAATGTACAGTTTTCATTTGGATTGCATATTATTTTTTTTATAGTTAGTGTACTAAAAAATAGATATTACCAGGAGATGCACAGATACAGCAGCAAAAAACACCATGCAAAGAACATTAAAGCAATAAGTATGGAAGCCCATTCCCGCCACTCAGAAAAATAAATCACATAATTAAGACTTTGTGTCTCAATATGATAAGGCACTATCTCATAACTGTGAGATAGCTAAGTCATATTTATGAGATGCTAAATCATAATTATGAGAAACTAAATCATAATTTAGAAATACTAAATAAAAGTAATGAGATAGCATCTCCTATTTTTGAGATAGCCAAGTCATACTTTTGAGATATTAAATTATATTTTTGTGATACTAAATCATAATTATGAGGTAGCTAAGTCATAAATATGAGGTACCAAATCATAAGTATGAAATACTAAATCATAATTATGAGGTAGCTAAGTCATGAATATGAGGTACTAAATCATAAGTGTGAAATACTAAATCATAATTATGAGATACTAAGTAATAATTAAGAGATACTAAATCATATATATGAGATACTAAATCCTAATTATGAGTTAGCTAAGTCATAATTATGAGATACCAAATCCTAATTATGAGTTAGCTAAGTCATAATTATGAGATACTAAATCCTAATTATGAGTTAGCTAAGTCATAATTATGATACTAAATCCTAATTATGAGTTAGCTAAGTCATAATTATGATACTAAATCCTAATTATGAGTTAGCTAAGTCATAATTATGAGATACCAAATCCTAATTATGAGTTAGCTAAATTATGAGTTAGCTAAGTCACAATTATGAGATACCAAATCCTAATTATGAGTTAGCTAAGTCATTATTATGATACTAAATCCTAATTATGAGTTAGCTAAGTCATAATTATGAGATACTAAATCCTAATTATGAGTTAGCTAAGTCATAATTATGAGATACTACAGTAAACTCTCAAATATTGGCCTGTATTTCATTACCGCCCAGGTCTCCTACATTAGCCGGTCTCGGTCTCAGCAGAGGTAAATAAATGCCGGTGTCTAACAGTAGCCTGGGACAGGAGATTTATCAGAAACAACTTTTTTTGTTCTCTGCAGGCATCAACATTACCGGTATGTCCAACGGGAGGGGGGTGGCAGGGGTCAAGTTGGTTTCACACGACGTTGCATCCATGTAACCAACAGCAGAGCTGGAGGTAGCCGTTGCAGCACAGAACCTTACTAGCTTTGTTGACTGGGTGTAAAAATACCCAAATTTCTTGCGATCAGGACAAAATAAATAAATAAATAAATAAAACATTATTTTCCGTGTCCTGAAAGTAGTGCACTACAAAGGATGCACTGAAACTTACTGAACAAAGACGGAATAGTGGATCATAATCTGGCTGCAAGATGTGCAGAAACGGAATGGAAAATGCTTTAGTTTGCGGTGATCACTTCATCACAGGTAAGGGTTTATTAAAGTTTTTTTATGGAGTTTTATTGAACAGCTTAGAAACGCAGCTTCAAAAACAACTGGTAAACAGTTTGATACTGTTTTCACCTTGTCCTCACCATAAAAAGCTTGTAGAGTGCTAATATTTTTAGCCTTTAGCTCAGCGTTGTAACATGGCATTAATACCTTAAAAAATCAAAGAAATGTACCAGAAATTTGGATTTAAAAAGGCATTAAATGTTTGTTATGAGTAGACACTAGCACGTATTCATCGTTAGCATTAGCTATCATTACGAGTTAATTACAAAATTAAAATAGCCCATCTCACGAGCATAAATAAGACAACAATCATTTAAAGCTTCTCATGGATCTCTAAATTGTTAACCAACCTGAAATAAAATAGTTCTGGGCTTTCAGACTCATAAAAGGCTTTTGGTTTGCAGTGTAGTATGCAATTTGCCACATGAGTTAGTTTGTAATGTCGATCGCTTCAGCGTTGCATAAATCCTCCAGCGAAACAACGGTGTTTGTTGTAAATGTTCTATATGCACACGTACGTACAATGTTAACTGAACACTTTCAATACATTAACCTAGTGTTTTATGGTTTCAAACAGACATAAAATATTGTTTTTATTCATTCTACTGGTAGTTTATGTTGCTCAAATTGAAACTGAGGCCTGTCTCTAATTCTGGCCTTCTTCCAATAAGGCCTGAACCAGGATGCGCTTGAGTAAAGGCCCAGGCCTGTATTAGAAGATTTATGGTAAATCATGATTTTAGGTAGCTATGTCATAATTATGATATACTAAATCATTATTATGGGATAGCATCTCATAATTTTGAGATAGCGTTGTGATAATAATGAGATGCTTTTTATCTGAGTGATTGGAATGGGCTCCCATAAACTCGCCTTATGTTCTCATTGCTTAGTTTTGATTTTAAACAATGGTTAATTTTTTCCCCCTAAGACTGTAAAATTATGATTTAAACTATGCGTCTATCTTTTTAATGCAAGTCAAACAGCTAGAGGCAGAAACCTCTTAAATAAGCAAAACTGTAGTTGTACATTAAAGTGATGATGGTAACTGGTCTGTATTTGTATGGCTCCTTCTTAGGGTTCTACAACACAATCAGTCATTCACCCATTCACACGCTGGTGGGGACAAGCTACGATGCAGCCACAGCTGCCCTGGGGTGCACTGACAGAGGTGACAGGTGATGTGCAATAAAATCTAAAAAAAACAGATATTATAAACTTCCAAAATTACATCTACGTGTTTTTAATGTTTTTTTAAGGCCAGTGCTTCAAGATGTGGAAATTATGGCACGTGGCAATTAGCTTACATCTTTTCATTTCTGACACATTTAAAGGCTGATCAAGCTGAGATAGGGACAAGTAAACAAAATTTAGACTTGAAAATAGTTGCTAAAGTTTCTAACAGAGAAAACAAAACCTCCTCCTCTTCATGATCATGCTGATGGTGAGATGATGCCAGACAAAAGGTCACAAACAAATGTAATCAGCAGAGGGCCGTCTTTATTTTAATTGCTACCAGTTTGAGCTGCAGACCTCAGCTGGGTATCAATGCAGATTTTTTTCCTGTGGAAATTGCTTAAAACAGGAACAATATGTTGTGTTTTACACTGCAGGTGGTCGGTTTGAACCTTTAGTATTTGTTATGACCGGATTATTTATCTGTTACTATAACAGTGTTGTGGGTTTGGACAAAGCCTTAAACGTACGATGCAAAACCACATCCCTCTGGGTGTTCTGAATAACATTTACATGCTCCATCTCAGCACTCCCTTAATAGACATGACCTCCTCATGCATCCAAATATCTGGTGTGAGCTTGCTGTCCATTCACGGTTTGCTTCTACTCCCAGAACAAGTGAAAGTCAGAGAAGTTCCTTTCATCCTCTCCGATTCCAGAGAACGACGAGCGTCTGGATTCACTGCTGATCAAACTGATTTGTCACTGAAAGTTGAAGGATATCAAACACAATGTGATTTTTTTGGTAACCTCCTGGAACTTATTGTTTTTCATTCTGATGTGCTTCTGAAGTGACAAACAAGGCACCATTAAACCATCCATGACTTTAGATCAGAATCAAAATGAGATTTTGTTGAAAAAAAATGTCTTTTTTGTTTGTTTTTACATGTTGCAGATGACCTAATTTAACAGAAATATCAATTCAAGCAAGCTAACAGCTAGCATCAGAAGTTCTGAGACCATGAAAACTACTCCTGTGTTAAAATATTAGTGACATTTATAGTGACATCTGTTTTCTGATCTTTCACTGAGCTGTAAATAAGCATTATTTGCTCTTTTACACAGAGTTTTATGTGAGCTTGCCAGTTTGCTCAGGAAGATCTACTTGAACATATTGTATTTATTTAACAAAATAATTTTCATTGCCCAGTTTTCAATATCTGGACCTGTCAAATGAGATCTACTGGATCCCTTTTAGCTCAGTCTCAGGAAAATCAATAAAGCACAGATAAATGTTCCTCCCAGACCACCTTGCATTTTTTAAAACCTGAAAACATAAACATTAATAATATTATATAATTTTTTTGAATGGTTCATGAAAAGGCATTAATGTTGGCACAAGGAAAGTGTGATATCTCACAGGAGAGAGTCGGCAAGTCTGCATACGCTACAGACGTACATTCATGCTATCTGTGAAATATTTCAAATGTCCAAAAAGGTGAGAGACCATAGATGGTGGCATATGGAGATGGAGATAAAAGGAATGGAGAAGAAAAGTCACAGAATGGATTGTGGCTTCTTATGCTACAATCAGTCATCTCTGAGTGACCTCTAATTAATTCTGCGGCATTAACAAACATCACTTTATTTAATCAAGGTTTGACACAGAGACAGATCACATGGTCCAAAGCATTTATTCTCAGCTGTCAGATGTTAGTG